GGCCGTAACAGCGAAAGGACCCCTTGCTCTTGAAAGATGTCTACAGTGGCTGCCAATTCAGGACTAATCGGTTCTCTGGCTTTTGCTGTCTTGGGTTGTTGCACCAAATTTCCCACTATTCTATCTAGGGATGTAAAGGGTTAATCAGTTACCTGGTTACCACACTCTTACCAGGTGATGCTTACTGTGTGAGTGGTTAACCAGCAGCTGGGCTGGTTAATAGGCTCTCCATTAACCTGTTAACATTTTAAATGGGATTTTACATCCCTAGTTCTATCCCCAAGAAAGCTCTCCTCCTGGTAGCAGCCGGGACCGCACCAATGCAGAACCTCATTGGTGGCTTGCAATGTCCTAGGCAGCATAGCTGTGGTCTGTGCAGGGTTAAATAACTGCGTGTGAAGCACACGTGTGGCTGGCAGGAGTCCTGCCTCGCGTTGCCGTCAGCCAAGCTGCAGCTAGTGACAGCGGCAGAGGGAAATATAAGCAAACACAATAGCAGGGGATAAAGAACAAAGTGTGTTGCGTGACATTAGCACTACATTAGCGGTGGGTGGGGACCGGTATGTTCAGGAGAATTAATTTTGCTTCCTTTGTACTTTTCTGAGTGAAGTGCCCTAGAAATGCAGGGCTGGACGGGACCTTGGAAGGCCACCTAATCCATCCCAACGTGCCAAGTTTTTAAAATCTTTCTTTGCAGGTCAGGCTTGCTAGCCCTTTTATCATTTTTGTGCCTGTCCTCGGGGCTCTCTCCAGCTTGTCCATGTTGTCTCTAGCTGGGACCTCACCAGGGGCCAAGTGGAGCAGGATAGTTACCTCTTGCATAGTTACCCCTGCTAACACACCCTGGAATATTAGCCTGTGTTTGTGAGGCGGTTGTGGGAAAAATGGTATATTCTCATTCAATTTATGTTCCATTGGAATCCCAAGGTCTTTTTTTCAGCAGTAGTGTCACCTACCCAGTTATTCCCTTAATTGTATGTGAGCTTTTTATATGTTTTCCCCTTATTAAGTGTAGTGTTTGTATTTCAATATCTTTAAGGCTAGTTTATCAGGCAGGCTCTCTGCAGGTAGGGGCAGGTACCAGCAGGGGAAAGTGGAGCAGGTGTCAAGAACTAGCTGCTCTTTTTGCTTAGTCGATCTTTTTCTTAAAAGCTTTCAGCAAAACCCGAGGGAGCTGCAGCTTCCGCTGGAGTTGGCAGAGGTTTGAACTCACCACGTGACTGTCACATGAAGGACAGCGGCGCTGTTGCTGCGGGCTAAGGCTGCTCAGTCCGTGTTCATCTGTTTCAGGCAGCCAGCTCCACAGGCTCATCTAAAGCAAGGCTGAACTTTTGACTTGCTACGTTGAGCCAGCTGCCGAAGGGTCTTGGGGCAAGTCGGAAATGAGGGCAGCTGCCGAGTAATCCTGCAGCCTAGTGGCCCAAGGGGTAGCTTTCAGCTTTTGTGGGCCCAGGGCTGAGCATCTGGTCCCGCAGAAGGGCTGGGCTGGGCTAGGCTGCTTGCCTGAATGCTCTGGGGCAAAGTTCTGGGTTTGGGTATTACCCCCCGGTGGGATAAGAGGGTGAAACCAGTGACCTTGGGCCAGTGAAGGTCCTGAATTAGAAGGAAGGGAGGGGAAGCAGGAACTGTCAACCCTGCCCTCTTCTCCTGTAATGGAGAGGGGGCGTGGACAGCAGCAGGGAGCAGGTAATGAGAGATGCCAGCTAACACGATGATCCTAGACCAGGGCTGGGCAAGGTGTGGCCCAGGGGCCGGATCCAGCCTGCCTAATGCTTTTATCTGGCCCACGAGCTGCAGCTGGCTGCTTCCTATTTATAGCCTGCTGCCTGGGCATTTCCAGGTGATGGTGCAGGCAGCCAGATCCTATTTAAATTGCTCCTGGTTATGAAGCTGTCCCAGCAGAGGCCGTAGCTGTGAGCCCTTTAATTAGCCACAGGAACCCCAGGCAGCGCAGTAGCGGCAGGGCCTGGAGCTGCGAGCTCTTTGCTATATTTTTAATTCAGTCTCTGGCCCCAGACACCTCTGGAGGGAGAGCCAGGCTCCTGCTGTTCCTTCTCAGGCCCCGCCCCTTGCAGGGTGGAGCCAGCCTGTAACTACCTACCAAAATTAAGTGCTGCCCCCCCCCCGAATATTATTGCTGGAAAGCCTGCAGCACCCCGAGCAGTTTGATCAAGAAGACGCCTTCGGCCCATGAGCCCAACTGTGCCATGGATGGGATTAGACCCTGGGTAGCGAGACCGTTGCTCTGGGAAGGGCCGTAGGGGGAGGCCCTACAGATGCGGGGAGCCCTGTGGACACCAGGAGATGATTTGAGGGTGCCACTTGCTGAACACACCAGTTACAGGCAGGGGGTGAGTTAGGGACGTCTGAGCTTTGGGGGCTGGAATTCCACACGGGCTGGTCTCTTCCCACGGGCGATGGGAGCTGCTGCCCGCCAGCCATGAATGCCATTCCAGCCTGAGAGCTGGGAGCCGGAGCACTGGAATGTCCTCGGCAGCCTGTGCTATTTTAAGGGTGGGTGCTATTCCCAGCACCAGGCCACACGAGCAGCCTCCCAGACGTGTGTGCGTGCTGCATTGGGCAGTGCAGGGGGCCTGCCCTGGGCTGGCAGGCTGCATAGGGCACAACTGCAGCTGGGCCCGGCTCGCTGAGGGTCGTGTTATCTCCTTTCTATGGCTGGCTGGGACGAGCGCTTCTCCGTCCCCTGTGCCAGCGGGGAGATCCTGACACCGTAACCCCATAGCGGAGTCCAGCCTCCATTTAAACCAATCGCGAAGAAGCCCGAGGGGGAGCCATGAGGCTGCTGCAGGCAGAACCCTTTCCACCTTCCTGGTTGTTTGCCCTGGGGATCTCAGCAGTGGAGGTCTGAGCCCCGGGGCCAGCCTGAAGGCTGGGCAAACTGGGCCCAGGGCGCTGTAGCCAGAGGGCGAGGGGCACCTGGGCAGGGGTGTCGCTGAGCAAAGGGGGTAGAGGGTTTGGGGCAGTGTGGCTGGGGTGGGGGGTGCAGGTGGGAGGAAAGCACAGGGGTTGGGATGAAGGGGGCACAATGCAGCAGTTAGTGATAAAGGGCACAGAGCATGGGGGTGCAGGGGTTGGGGAGCCCGGGGGTGCCAGGAGAAATGGGTGATGTTTCGCCCCCAGCGGTCAGGGGCACCAACAGTGCGAGCTCCTGTTGGTTTAATATTTACAGTCACACCCCAGACATTATTCGGCATGCTCCACAAAACCCCAAAGCAGGCCTGGCCAAAGGGTTTGTGGGGCCCAAGGCAGGATGCTGGGAGCGGGACCCTGGGCCCAGCCAGTGCAGCAGCGCAGGGCCCCGAAAGCGCGGGGCCCAAGGCATTTGCCTTGCTCTAGGGCCAGGCCTCCCCAAAGAGCTTGTCGAACAGACCGACATGTCGAGAGAAAGTAGGGGAGGGCGAGGAACTTGAACACACGCCAGCTTGGTTCACAGTAACCGCGTGGCAGTGGGTTATTGGGATGTGCTCAGAGAAGCTTGGGGAAGGGGTGTCCCGGCGTAGGAGGAAGGCCCAGGCCGTGACAGCGTGGAACGCATGCGTGTGGTAAAACTTGATGTGGTCAGATGTTTGTAATGGAGCAACACTGTGGTGTGTGTGGGGGGACTGGGTTTTACATTGTGTATTGTTCCAGTCTCTCCACTTAACACCTTTCAGCAGAGGCTCTCGAAGCGCTTCACAGAACTGAACAGGAGCAGAAACGTTGGCATACGGTTTAGAAAAACCCAGCCATAGTGAAAACGCCTTCCTACATTGTAAATGTTGCGTTACCCATGAGACGGGGACACTGGGCTGGTGCAGGACTCGTTGCGGGGGAGGAAGGGAAGCTGCCTGCTCTAGCTTCACTGTGCTAGGGGAGCAAAAGTTGAGGAAGCCACGTGTGTCACGAGGGCAGGTGTGTACGGGAGGAGAATTCACCAGCAGTTTTAAAGAATCATTTCCTTATCGTGGCAAGACTTAATTTAATCTCCTAGCATCAGTGGGCCGGATCCTCATCTGGTGGAAACGGAAGTCAATGGAATATATTGACTTAAAAAACATTACCTCCCCCTCCCCCACAGGTCCTGATGTGTTTGTTTTCCCTTGCACCCTCCCCCCCCCATGATAAATCCTTATGCAAAGGGGCAGGTTTGTTTGCCCTGCAGGGAGGAGAGAAGCTGACTGAAACCCAGACTGGCAAGCGGGAATTAGAAAGACAGAAATGTTGGCTTGGAAGGGGCCTCTGTGGGTCATCTAGTCCAGTCCCCTGCACAGAAGCAGGATACCTAGACTAGTAGTGTCCAGCCATGTCCTGTTTCTTTCCCCTTACCCCTTGGATCTGTCCGCACCTCTCTGTTGCATTCGTGCAGACAAGGACAGAAGAGCCAGGGCTGACAGGGAGCAGGGGCTAGAGATGGAGAGGGAATGGGGGCATCGCAGGGCCTGGAGAGGGAATGGGGGCAGGGAAGGGCCTGGATCCCCTGCCCTGCCACATCACTTGAATGCTCCTCTGAGCCCTCCAAGAGGGTCGCGCCCCACAATTTGGGGACCACTGATCTAGGTGGTCCCTGACAGGTGTTTGCCCAAATTGTTCTCAAACCGAGAGTCCAGAACCTGCCAGGAGACTGGCTAAGCCCTGGTTCACTAAAGATTGGTGCTGATTATTTTCAGGAATAACGGCATTGCGCAAGAGGGTTTTTCTTATGCAAGAAGGGGCAGTGTAAGACAGCTCCTTCTTGCGCAAGAGCCTCTTCTGCAAAAATGGCGGCTCATTAGATATGCAAATGAGGCTCAGTGATATTCCACGCGTAACCTCATTTGCATGGTTCTGGCGCAAGATCACGCCAGTGTAGATATAGCCGATGGATTTAGCTAGCACGTTTTGGAGAGGTGGATTGATGGCAGCGACAGGAAAACCTTTTCCTTCTCTGCTACAGTGGTAGGGTGGTACAGCTGTGGCCCTTCCAGTGTACACATAGCCATACTCTTTGTTGCATTTCCTAGGCTTACGAGAAGCGCTTTCCCACGTGCCCGGAGATCCCGGTCTTCCTGGGCAGCGAGATCCTTCAGGAATCCCACAGCGACGATGGAGCCGTTCACATCATCGAGCGGAGCTGCAAGCTGAACGTGGACGCGCCGCGGCTGCTGAAGAAGGTGAGAGCCTCGTGCGTCTCTAGGCTGCCTTGTGCTTGCGGGAGCTGTGGAGACTCCGTGCCCACATCACCTAATGGCTCCTGTGTGGTTCTGTTCTTCCTTTCTCAGATCGCGGGGGTAGAGTTCGTTTTTTTCATACAGAAAAACACTGTGAACTGGAAAGAGCGGACGCTCCTCATCGAGGCCCACAACGAGACCTTTGCCAATCGCGTTGTTGTCCTAGAGACGTGTAGCTACTCGGTAAGCGCCTAATTGCCCAAGCAGCCTTCCTCTGGACTGTGCAGTGAGCCAGGGCAGCTGAGGGACCGTGGCAGGGGCCTTCTGCCGTGGGCTGACAGGCGGGGAAGGCTCTCTGAAGAGTTTTTGGATGCTGGGCCATAATCCAGTGTGACTCAGAAGCCCATTGACCTGCCTGGAGGGACTCCCAGTTGGGGAGAGCTCAGAAGCTGGCTTGTGTGCGGGTGGTGGGGGGGCAGTACCTTGCCTTGGCTGGAGCGTTAGGCCCTGGCATGAGATCAGAGAGCAAAGGGAGGAAGGTGGGGTTCTAGATTTGCTGCACAGGGTTCCCCTAGTTCTCCAGGCTTAGATTTTAACAGGAACGTCTGGCCTGGGCATGACTGTAGCAGTGTGGGGAGGAGCCCCAAATACTGATGATGGGAAGTTGAGGTGGGCGTATGGGAGGCAGCTGCAGCGGCCGAATTCTCATGCTGCTCCGAAAAGAGCGCCCTTCCTGGCTTCCCTATTGCGAGTTCTTTTGTCCCCGGGGCTTCCATGTTGCTCCTGTGTTGATCATAGATAAAACTCTCGTGCGGCTTCTTGGTGGCCTGGGAGGATTTCGTCCAGGGTGTTCCGCTTGTCCAGCCAGCCTGCCTGCCATATCCATGCCTCTGCGCCACAGGCGGCCAGCCACACTGAAAATAGCATCATGTATTTCGGGCAGCAATCCGATAGCTCCCCTGTTTCCTAAACAAAAGTCCAGATCCTGTTACTTACCTGCTCTGTTGGCACTTGCGCATTCGCGCGGCTTCTTGAAATCAAAGAAGCTTTCAATGGTGGTTGCTTCCAGCGAAGCAAGTAACTAACCCCTCCCAACCCTCGATTCCACTGGGCCCCCAGGGCATTTGTGTGCTGTGGTGTTTGTGGAAATGAGCCTGGCTCAGATTCTTCCACTGCCGTCCTCTCTCTCAGCGGCTGGCTGCGTGGAGATGCTGTTGGGTCCACTCAGCCGTGGTACAGTCCCAGATTTCAGGTTACTAGGGGTTAACCCCTGGGATTCCAAGATGCGGCTGCTTTTTGGAAGGGAGGAACTAGTTGTCTGAATCCTGGAGATGCTCCTGATCTCTCCGAATTGTGGGAGGAGCATGCAGGGAACAGATTTTTCTGATGTTTCAACCTCAGCCACGTTCCTTGGAGCTTGACCGATGGCTCTGTGCGTATGGTTTTTGGTGTTCAGTGACTGGGCCTGCAGCCTTAATGCATAAGAGGAAGGGCCGACCTTTTGATAAGGGAGAGAAGGGGTCAGAGCCATGTGGATGTTTAGCACATCCAGGGTCCTGGAGGAATAGAACGTAGGAAGCTGCTCCGAAAGGGAGGCTGGCCTGTGCTAAAGGCAGTGCTGAGACCTGGGAGACCTAAGTTCGATTCCTTGCTCTGCCACAGGCTTCCTGGGTAACTTGGGGTGAGTCACTTAATCTCTGGATGTCTGTTTCCCGGCTGTTCAGCCGGGGAGGATAATTCCCCCTTTCCCTCACTCTGCCTTGTCTGTTTAGCTTGTGACCTCTTTGGGGCACGGCAGTGCCTGTCAGGCATACAGCTGGAACGGAGGTTGAACCCAGATATGGGAGTGGGCCGGGGGAATTCCTAGAACTCAGATCAGAGTCCGGGGACAAGCCAAGTCAGCACTGTAGCTGGACTATAGGTGCACATCAAAGCTGGGCAGTCAGAGTTTGAGGGGCATGAGGCAGTATCAAGGCTGGAGCAGGTCAGTAACAGGGCTGGAGCGAGGTCGTCAGGGTAGCGCAAAGACAAGACCAGAACCAGGCTCAGGCAAGGCTGGGGCAGGACCAGGGTGAAGAGTCGGTTACGCTGTGAGGCAACGCTGCCAGACTCGGTGGGAGGGTCAGCTGAGCAAGTAGCCCTGGTCTGGCGGCAGGTTTGCCTCGTGCATACCGCAGCTAGCGCCAGAGGCTTGATTAAACGCTCTTGGGGCAGTTACAATGTTTTTTCCTTGGCTCCCCAAAAGGCAAAGCAGGAGAGGTGGGAGTAGTTTTGATTTCCGTGGATGGGGGAGATTCCAGCCCTACTTTCGGTTGTGCTCCTCATGTGCCTTACGCTGCTGTCCGACTGAGCTCTGAAAGATGTCTTACTAGCGGCTGGACTCCGTGCTGACAGGCCTGCCGGAAGTCCCCTGGGAGAGCGGACAGCCATGTTACTGCCTGGCGTGGAGGCCGGCTGCCGAGGTTTGCTCTGTGCTGTGTGACTCCAGGCCTGTCTCCATCTGAGTTTAGGTGCACCCCGAGAATGAAGAGTGGACGTGCTTTGAACAGTCTGCGTCTCTTGACATCAAGTCGTTCTTTGGCTTCGAAAGCACTGTGGAGAAAATTGCCATGAAGCAATACACTGCCAACATCAAGCGGGTGAGCGCTGGTTTCCCCCCTCAAATGCAGCTTGAGCGTCCACAGCTGTGTAGAAAGGGGAGGTCAAATGGCTGCTGGGGTCCACGATTGCCGTGGCAAAGGGTGTGAAGGGTCAGGAGAGGTGACGTTCTCTAACAGGTAGCTCAAGGGAGAGGGGACGGGCAGGAGACCTAGGTTCTGTGCTCAGCTCTCCTTCCCTGCTGTTGCCTTGAATAAGTCCCTTAGCCTCACCGTTGCCTGAGTTTCATCCTCCGTAAAGGGAGAGGACGCAGCTCTACAGAGCAGCTGGGCCCTCCCCTGACACTAAGTCTCTCTGGTAGAAGGCAGCGATTAAGCCAGCATCCACTGAGGAAAAACAATCTGTTCATTTGGCCATCTCTATGCGCAGGTTGGAAGGGGATTATTCTGGGTGAGGGCCGCATTCAGCGTGTGGTCCAGACTCCTTGGAGTCCTTCTGACAAGTGTCCCCATACAGGAAGGACAAGCCCCAGGAGCTGGTTCGCTTCATTCCACCGAAGACTCTGCTCTGACCGGATCTGGGCAGTGCAGCGGGGTTGTTTTGGGGGGATGTTAGTTTGATTTGATGGCCTTTTCCCTGGGTTTAGGGGCTCCGGGGAGCAGGGCAGCCAACAGGTGAGATGTGTAGGGCTCACCGACCTTGTTTTCTTCCCTTCCCCTGAACCCAAACTCTTCTGTTACCTCAGAAGTTCCCCCGAGTAACAACACCTTGCTCTTCTCTAGAGAATGCCTTTCACGCTCCAGGTAAAACTCTCCCCACACACCCTTACAGTCAGTCCGTTCAGTTCCCTCCTGCCTTGCTCTCATGCTGCTGCATGAGGGTGTGAAACACAGGAACGTGCTCCTTCTTCCTTGGGCTAGGGAAACTCCCCCTTCCCGCTTACAGCTGGGACCCTGCTCTCTCCAAGCACCGGAAACCTTTGCCCACGTGGTTTTTCTCTCTAATGCAAGTCTTTGCTTCCAGGGGAAAGAGGTGATCGAGCATTACCTGAAGGAGCTGATCTCTCAGGGCATCACCTTCATCCCCCGTTGGACGCCTCCACCAGTGAGCCGACAAAAGGACAAGGGGGCCCTGGCTGTGGGGTGCAATCCTGGTATGGTGCCAGCAGAGACCTGCACACAGGGAGCTACCAAAGAGCAGCCAGGCAGCTCCTGCCCTGCTGCAGAGATGGCTAGCCCTGACGGTATGTCCTTCCCAGGCAGCAGCAGCAATGTGGACGCTCTGGGGAGGGATGGAAGCGACTAGTCGACTACCCGATAAGCATACACTCGACTAGTCGCTTCTCCACTCCCCCTTGCTAGCTCTATCAGCAAGGGGGGGGGGGAAGCAGGAGACAGTGCTGGGGGGAGCCAGCTTTGAAAGCCGTTTTCCCCCAGCACCGTCTCCATGGGTGGACAGGGAAGGCAAAGGCTAGCAGGGGGACCAGGCGCGAGCCGGGAATCAGCCGATTCCTGGCTTGTGCCTGGTCCCAGACGCTGCACCTCTGCCTTTTTAAATGTATTCGCTTCATTCCACCAAAGATCTGATCTGGGCAGTGCAATGGGGTTCATTTACGCTTCATTCCACTAAAGATCTGATCTGGGCAGTGCAATGGGGTTCATTTAAAAGGCAGAGCTGCAGCGGGGTTCGCTCTCAGGAACTAACCCTGCTGAGGCTCTGCAGTCCCCCCTCTTATCAACTAATTGAGTAGTCAATGGAAATTCCATCAATTACTTGTAGCCTCCCTAGCTCTGGGTCTCATGTTGGGGTGTTTCTGCCACTCAACTCCCGAAGCTGCTGCAGGCTGCTCTGAGGGCGCCAGCCCCGTGGGAAAGCGGCTGTGGCAGGGGAAGGAAGTGAGCTGAGTGGTCATTGTGTCCTTGCAGTGGCCTCTCCAACGATGGGCACTTTTTACCCAGGATTCCTGGTCCTTGCAATTGGGGCTGTATCTCCAGGAGCTTCCAGAACAGCCACTCTGTTAGTGCTGCTAGAGAAAGAAGCTGAGATCTGGGGCTACTGGGTGCTGCTCCTTCCTGCCCTTCATCATGTGGCTTTTCTGTGTCTTAATTTACCCATCTGTAAAATGGGTCGAATAGTTACCCACCGGCGAAGGAAGCTGGAAGGCAGAGGTAGTATCGGTGAAGCGCTTTGAGATGAAAGGTCCTATAGAAGTGGAAAACACCACTCAGCAGCGGGCTGAGATTATTGGCTTCCTTTTTGTTCCTTGTATCTCTGCTCTTCAGCTCCCAACTCTGTCCGACTCTCCCAGCTGCTCTCTCTATTCCGTCATGTGCCCACCCCCCAGCTTGCCTGGATCTGTAACGTGGGCTCTGACGCTTAATTTTCCCTGGGGATGTTCAACACCCACTGCATCCCCTCCCAAACGCCCCCCCCCTTCACTGCTCTCTGCCCTCCTCAAGTTCCCAATCAGATGTTTGGCGAGGGTGCCCTTGATCACCTGTGTCCAGTGGGTGCTGCGCACCCACTACTTTTTTCCAGGGGTGCTGCAGCTGCAGCGCACCCCCAGAGAATGATTTGCAGCGAGGCTGCATGAGTGAAGGCTAATTTCTCCTGTAGAACTGAGGAGCAGCAGTCGGGGCAGCAGGGTCCTCTAAGCACGTGGCCCCCAGTGCACGACACTGAAGCCTGTTGTTTCCAGGGTCAGAAATATCCCGCCTGAAGTGGAGCTATCCCCAAAGGGTCCCTCCTGTCTCCACACGCCTCCCACACAGCTGCTGTGACGCTGCCCTTTTGGTACCACGGTCCCCATCCACCCACTCCCAGCTGCGCATCTGCCTCCAGCGCTGCACGCTGGCAGGCAGGATCCCCTTGTCCTTTTTCTCTCTGCTCTGGAGGAGCCCTGCGCTGCA